GAGAGAGAGAGAGAGAGAGAGAGAGAGAGAGAGAGAGAGAGAGAGAGAGAGAGAGAGAGAGAGAGAGAGAGAGAGAGAGAGAGAGAGAGAACCAGGACAGACGGGGGTAGTTTTCGTCTGTGGGATGATGGGTGTAAATTTGGACTCTCGATGTACTGCGAAAGACGTGAGAGGTGGTTGTAACTTAATGGATGATGGATTTGGTTAATCAGCCTTCGGCGACGATTTCTGTCGATTTGGGACTCATGACCTGATTTATGCCGCTTGCATTTTGTATTACAAAACACATTTGCTTGTATCTTCTCTGGTGCTGGAAGCTAACGCGAGAATGGAGATGACTTTGGTATTTCTTCTTGTGTTGTAGTTTGTACCGTTTGTATTTCTAGAGGGTTGTTCTTTGGTCGAGTTGTCATGCAAAATCACCTCACTGCCTGGTGGGCATTGTTTGATATCAAGTGTGCGTGAGGACGGACAATGTTTCTTAGGGTGTACTCACATAAGGACTTGTTTACTTGTTTATGGATGTAATTGCGGTCATATACATCAAGTTCCAGCCGTAAATGAAGTCAGATAATCTCAGATACATTTAAGATACAGCTGGTGTGAGTGTGTCTGTATAATGTCAATTTTGTGGGAAAGGCAGAAGATCTTTCTGATCTTCTGCAGAATTGAAGTTTTGTTAATCAAGTGGGCATTTGGGAGATGGGTTGTCTTTCTTTCCCCCCCCATATACCGTCAAATAAAACTGCCCTGTAAACTGTCGGCAGACGGAGAAATAATTAAAGAGCTGTCTTCCGACTCTTCTCCTAACGGGGTACGGCTGTATATTACTAAATCTATATTTTCACTCAATTTCAGCTTTCACTACCTTTCTACCACTACCTCTAAGGCTATACAGGGGAACCCTGCAAGCATAGTTATCTCTCTCTTCGGTGGTGGGAGGTAATTGCATGTTTGCCTCTTGCCCTAGTGGTTTAGGGTTGTTATCTAGGCTACCAGAGTGGCCCGGGGCCACTTGCCCGGCCGGGCCAAAAAAAAAAAAAAAAAAAAAAAACCAAAATTATTTTAACTTTATTTTTTATTTTAAATTCGGTAAAGAATTTCGATGTGACCCTGAGGCAAAAGTTGTTAAGTTTATTTTGCTGCATAACATAGTTTTTGTTCGGAGTTTTTTGGTTTTTTTTTTTTCGTATTTTTTTTTGCTAGGACCTTCCTTCCCTGGGCCTTGCACGGCCGTGCCGTCCGGGAAAATAAGGTGACCCGACCGGCCCGGCTGGTAGCCTAGGTTGTTATAGGGGAAAAAAAAAAAAAAAAAAGGTTTAGGGTGCAGGGTTGGGGCCGCTGTGTTGGCTGCTGTGCCAGCAAATTTTATTGGGGCTGCTGTGCCAGCAAATTATGACCCGGCCGGCCCAGCTAATGCAAGGACTGTCCATTTGCTGGCAATTGTGCCTCCCTTTTCACACCTGTGTTGGCTGAAAGACCCTATAATACCTGATGGGAGGATCCACCTGACTATCTCAGTTGGTTGGCACCAAGCTTATCGTTCTCTCTCTCTCTCTCTGTCTTCTCTCTGTCTTCTCTCTCTCTCTCTCTCTCTCTCTCTCTCTCTCT